AATTTTGCTACAGCGTGAAATAGTGCAAGAAAGCATGATCGCACTGGCCCGTCTGGTTCGTTTCAGCTTGGGTTTTCGTTCTAGTACATGCCTGGAATAGCTTTGTAGTCTTTCCGCACTCATATGGTAATGCAAAAATTTGCTGAGCCTTCATGTATGGCTAAAACTAGAACTTCCGGCGTTGAGCCTGCTTGTTATCGAATTGTGTCTCGATGCAACCTATGTGTCAGGATTCACTGACTTTGGGTTCCAAATGAACCAACTTTCTTAATTTTCCGAACTGTTAGTATACACATTAAAGGTTTGGATTCTGTCTAAAATAATTTTTGTCATAAAAGTAAAATCTGAATCCTCCACTGCCTACCCCATTGCAGTTACATCAAAGCGGACATGGGTGCAAAGAAAGCGGCGAGTAGCGGAAATTTGCTGCAAACAATTGCGCACATTCTCGGTGTGAACGACATATCGCAACTAAATCCCGATGCTAACCTGGGCGATTTGGGTCTGGATTCCCTAATGGGTGTTGAAATCAAGCAGGCACTTGAGCGAGATTATGATATCGTCCTTTCCATGAAAGACATCCGGACAGTAAGATTCCTCGCTTTTTTTATAAAAAAATATTTGGTTTGAATGAATTAAAATATCAAAGAACTGTCTTCATATTAATAGCTGTTACAAGCGTTTAGGTGTTAATTCTCGCATAAATTACTTACAAGATTAGCAGACCGAGATTCTGCAGCAGCTGGAAGAAGTAATGTCAGAAAGCATTAGGAGGGTTCAGTCCCAGCCACAAAGCCGCCACGGAATGTTTACCTACAGCTGTAGGTTGCCGCCGAGGGAAGAATTTGCAAACCGTCTGCTTCTGGGAAATTGAAACTAATTCACGAAGTCAAGAAAAAAAACGATAAAAATTCTAGGTCTAGGAGAATTACTTAACATTCAGTGCGAGTTAGCGGACCTGATATCAACTTCTAAAGTTTACTGTCTTGACTTCTCGTTTTAGGCTGGAATTTAGAATAATTTTAATGTCAGAATGAAAGGCTCAAGGACTGGGAAGTTTGTAGAATCCAGTTTGCCGCGTAAGGCCGTCAATTGACCCAGTCTGGTTTCGAGCCACACGTTTTTTACTTAGGGCTGTACACCTGAAATATGGCGTAGAATGTTCCAACATCAAACAGTACACCTGCAGGCATTTGCCGCCCATAGCTTGAAAATACCATAGCTGTACGGCCAAACACAGACTCTGAATAGCTTCACAAAAGTTACGTTTATTTTTTTCAGCTAAGTTACTCATTTTTTCAGCTTACGTTGAACAAACTTCAACAGCTAGCAGATTCGGGCGGCACACCGTCAACGGTGCTTCAAACGACTGAGCTGGAGCTTAAAAAAGAAAGTGAAAAAGAAGCCGAGCAAAATACCGTCGAACAGCTGGAAAGGCAAATGAATCAGTTGTTCAAGTAAGCAAACCTTGTTTTGAAAACACGGCAGCACTTGGAATCAGCGCAACTTCTGCTTCAAATGCGAAAAATTTCGAAGAGACGTTTATCAGCAACAAGCTTGTACTGTCTTGTTACACTGAGACACTTGACTCCAGTTAACGATACACTGCTGTACTTGTTCGACAAACTGTTGACCTTCGTTCTGCAGTTAAACAAAAGTGTTAAGGATGAGGGTGGATGTTAACGACCTCGAACCAACGGATCTCATCGTTAAATGCAACAAGGCTGAAAGCGGTCCACCGACATTCTTTGTACATTCGATAGAAGGAATTGCCACACCGCTGAAGAAAGTTATGTCAAAGTGTAACTTCCCTGCTTATTGCTTCCAGTCAACAAGGGAAGTGCCACAGGATTCCATCGAAAAAGTTGCTCAAAAATATATTGCGGTATGTTGAACCTTTACATTTTTATATCTTAAAGTAACCAATTAGCAAAGTCACATTTGCTTTACGTTACAGAGATATTGCCTCAAGCATCCACTAAAATAAATTCCTCCTCATCCTTCGTTTTTGTGCTTGTTGCAAACCAAGTCCTATTTGGCTTTGCAATCTTCCGGTCGGCAGACAGTTTGTTTGCCCTTGCCATGCTTGTTGGCCTCTCCGTCCTTTGCTTTCTGCCAAAATTTTGCACGAAAGTCGTATGGCGCCTGTGAGAACTGGCTTGGTTCTAACG